CGTGACGGGAAGGGAAGGGAAGCGAAGGGCGGGGGCGCGCGCGCGTGCGCAGAGCCGCGGCGTGAGGCCGGCGCCCGAAGCCGCTCACAGCCAGGCCCTACCCCCACCCCGCCCGGGGCCACCACGCTTCCGGCGGGGGGAGAGGGAGCGCCGGGCTGCCCGCGCATGCGCAGCGGGAGGCGGCCGCTGGTAAACGGGGCGGGCGGCCCCTGCTGGGCGCCATTTAACCCTGCGCGGCCGCTCGTGTTCCTGTTACTTACATGTCTATATAATACATATAAGTGTATATATAAAGCATACATATGTATTTACATTCTTATGTATATCATTTCCTTTGGGTCGGAGGGGCGGTAGCCATGCGTTTTGTGCGTTTTGTGAGCAGGCTGGCCATGGTGTCCCAGGTCACCCCTGTTGCTGCAGGGGTTTGCGCTTAGCTGCAAAGTTAGGATTTTCCAAAGTCCTGATGCTCCCCGGTAAGGGTGCAGGAGGCTGTTGTGAGGTGGGGTTGGTCGTTTCCCCAAAACAACTACCGAGAGGACAAGAGGAGGTGGTCTCAAGCTGTGTCTGGGGAGGTTCAGGTTGGATATTAGGAAAAATTCCTCCATGGAAGAGCAGTGATGCGCGGGAACAGGCTGCCCCAGGAAGCAGTGGAGCCCTCATCCCTAGCAGGGCTGGAGAACCGTGTGGCTGGGGACGTGGATCAGCAGCCTGGTGGGATGGGTTCACGGCTGGACTCCATGAGCTTGAAGATCTTTTCCAACCGTAATGATTCCATGATTCTGTAATTTGTTTCTGTGTTTTTCTTTTCCATGTTCTGGGTTACTTTGATCCTCCAGTCCCAGGTAGTGTGTTTGGGCCCTGCCTGTCCCTAAGCTGTGTCTTTGCTGCCTCGGGCTGTCAGCAGTGCCCCAGGGAAGGGGTGTGAGATCCGGGGCTCCGACGGCTCTGCCAGGCACAGCCGTCCCAAGCAGCCTCGCTCTGGTCCTGGGCAACAGCCGGAGCAGGGCGGCTGTTCCCTGGGAATGTGTCTGGACACCTGCTGTCACCCCAAAGGAATTCTGCTCCGAGACACATGCCAAGTAGGGTCGGTCAGGAAAGCCGCTCCAGGCCAGAAGAGCATCACTGCTGTTAACGTCATCGCTGCTGTCAATGTGAGGCCAGGTCCTGCCTGAGGTGTTTGTGGTGTGCTCCTCTGCTCCGTGTGTCCAGCTTCACAGTGTGCACCTCTGCTCCGTGTGTCCAGCTTCATGGTGTGCACCTCTGCTCCGTGTGTCTAATTTGGTCGTGTGCACCTCTGCTCCGTGTGTCCAGCTTCACGGTGTGCACCTCTGCTCCGTGTGTCTAATTTGGTGGTGTGCACCTCTGCTCCGTGTGTGCAGCTTGGTGGTGTGCTCCTCTGCTCCATGTATCCAGTTTGGTGGTGTGCTCCTCTGCTCCATGTGTCCAGCTTCTGCTCCAAACAGATGCGCTCTCCACTTTTATTGACTAGAAATGGATGTAGTAATGTACAGTGATACCCTAGAACGAATGGAAAACAGTGTGATAAACCTTGGTGCGAGCCAGCCTATAAATGAGCTTGAAAGATCTTGAGGGAAAAAAAAGAGAGTTTTGAGTGGCAGCGCATGAGAGTCTCACACAGATTTCCAAATTCCTGGTAACTCTACAGTTTGCTGATCTAACAGACAGAGACCACAGAAGTAACTTAATTCTTACGAGCTACACATTAAACTTTCTGCAAATATTATTTTGTTGATATTTTAAGTTATTCAAGGTAGATTTTTTGTAATAACATTTTAGTTCTATATAAAAAACAAATTATAAAAAAATCTCAAACATTTTATTGTTACCCTTTACCTATTTATTTGTTGGCAAGGGCAGTCAAGTTGCTGAATAATGTGTCTATATAGAGATTAAATCTCCCTGAGACTTTATGTTGCACCTGTAAATTTTGATTTGTCGTTTTATTAACTGAAATGAGGAGCCACCTTCCTTGATAAATCGCCTTTCCAGACACACTTTGCCGAAGCACAGTTTGTCCCAGGCAAATGGAAATTTTCAGCAGCTGCAGTTTTTGACATAGCTGATAGCAGGAAATGTTATTTATAACCTCCTGTAGCAGCTCCTCTTTAATGCCTGATAATCTGCTGCGCCTTTGCAGCGAGCGCAGCAACATGTGGTCTCCCACTCTCCCGCGGTAACCTGCGGAATACTTTCCAGATGAAAGATACTTTAATCACTTGGTTGCCTGCAACTTTCCTGGAGGAGGATAAAAGCATTTCTCTGTGTTCTTGCTGGCTTTGGAAATTTAACATGATATTTTTCCAGCCCTCTTTTTTTTTTTTTTTCCCAGGGATAGGAAGCAAGTGAAGATGGATTTTCCCAGTGCCTTCTGTTGTACCGAGTGGATCAGCAGAGATAGTATGAGGAATAAAGCATTTTTAAATCCCTAAACTTGAGGGTAAAAAAACCAAAATGATGGGATGGGGGAATATGAGGAACTTCCAACTCTTCACAGAAGGTGGCAGCACTCTGAAGTGCTGAGCACTGACCGGATTGCAGGAGCCTTGGCAAAAACGGCACCTGCTTTGCGGAAAGAGTGTGATCGTCTCAACGTAGACCCAGAGTTTGCAGTGAACGTAAAGAGGAGTGCCAGGGGATGGAATTCCTGGGGGAAAGGGAGCCCTTGCTGCCCTCTGGGCATGGGGAGCCGGGCACATGGGGACGGGAGCCCTCCCTGCAGCTTGGCCGGGTCAAGGCCTGCACAAGGAAGTGGCAAGTGAGGAACATGGGTTTCTGGGTGACCAAAGGCCTCACGGATGCAAAAAGCAGCACCTTGCATCGACTTCCCCCCCAAAAAAATTGAGACAAGATGGACATTTTGGAGCATATATGGAGCACAGCCTTGAGCAAGGAGATTGGGCTAGACCATCTCCAGAGGTCCCCTCCAACCTCAACTGTCCTTTGAGAGGGAAGTTTTAAGACATGTCTGTGAGGTCTGTGATTTGGAATTGTGTTTTTATTTTGCTCCATCTTTGCAGTAGCGAGTGCATCCATAACTCTGCTGAGGTCTCAAGGAGAGTTAATAGATTTTCAACAATTTTCTCAAACATACCTAATCATAGTTTTAAAGAGAAACAAAATAAGACAGGGAAAAGAGACAGTAATTTGGCCATTAATCATATTACTTTTATTTAAACAGTAAGGTACGTCTTTAATATATCTATATTAATATTGATACTGAGTTTTGAACAGTGCTGTACCAGACAACTTTACAAATATAATGCTAAATACACTATTTATTGCTGTTGGTGGTTGTATGAACATAACTTCTATTATGGAAATAAATGTAAGAATGAATAAGGCACCCTTCTAGTACGTTGCTTTAATCTATGCTTGCAACATGCACAAAACTTCCTTTTGCATTTACCTGTTACTCCTCCCCTTTGCTTATTACAGCAGAAATAAAGTTTCTGTTATTGGCGCTGCAGTTAGTACCTTGTCTGAAGAATTCAAACCTGAAAGCACTGACTTTTCCTTCCTTTAAAATGTAACCTGCACCTCACAAAACCCATTTTCATGTCATTCGTCCTGATTTCTTCCTTTTTTCTAGAGACAAAAAGTATTTCTGTTCTTCCTTTGCTGTTGCTCTTACTAGGAAACATGCCCTGCGAGAGGAGGCCTCGTTGCTGCGGGAGGCAAGGGACCAGGCTTGCTTCTTTATCTGCGTTTTGCTGGCACTGACCCCACTCAGACAATAAAAATCTGAAGGCAAAGGCATCTCTGCTGCCTAATTTTATGGGTCTGGGCCCAAAGCAGCCATCAGCCGAGGCCCAGGTGGGAGCTGGTGGAAACACTTCCATTTCCCTGTGCCCTCCACCAGGACTTCCCTGCAGTTTTGGGATATAAGCTACCTCCAATTGCCCTCTGTCCCCTGGGATCCGCTTTGGCTGTCGCTCTGCTTCCCGCTCGGGAGACGCCGATGCCTGGCGAGGCCCTTGGGGCTCTGCACATGGGGCTCCGGAGGCCTCAGCCATTTGTCTGGGCTTGGCTGAAGGGCTGAAAAATGACCAAAAAACCCACCGGAGAACCAGGGACGCAGCTCTCCCAGCTCCCAGGTTTGTTTCAGCAGTTACCTGAAACAATAGGGGAGACCAAGGTTTCAGGGGCTTTTTTTTTTCTTTTTTTTTCATTTTTTTTATTTAAAGCAGACTATATAATAATTTCCCGATACTCTAATACTCCTTAAAAAATGAAATGCTCTTGCAGGATAATATAAGCACAATAGAATTATTGAATTCACCAGCTACATGAAGTATTATATTACATAGATGACAAATACAGTTTTTCATGAACTTTGAAATGCAAAATGTTTTTTAATTATATCCGTTATTACAGTACCGTTTTAAAAGAATCTTTTGGTTATATGTAAACCCTATAGATTAGCTAACTGTTTTAAAAGTTATCCTGTAAGACAAATATGGCATTGGCAAAATTAAAAAAAAAAAGCCCTAAATCTTGAATTCTTTCAGGGTAAAAGAGCAAAAGCAGGTACCAATCTAATGCTATGTAATTACATGCTAAAATTTAGACTTAAAGATCCAGTGTTTCTTTATATTCCTTCCCTGTTTTTATTTTTATTTTTATTTTTATTTTTATTTTTATTTTATTTTAAGCTTTTCACATTGATGCCCCGAGGCATGGGACACCTTCTACTATGTGTGACAGGATAATACACATTATTTGAATGTTGCCATTTAATACTGAAAGCCATCTAAATTAAGCCTCCTAAATATGTACTGGCTTAAATTAAAATCCTGAGGAATTATAATCTGCTTACTTGATGGTTTTGGTTAAGTGCGAGTTGACGTATGCAGAATGCAGTTTCATTTAAGGTCGTTCTTAGTAAGGCATATTAAAAATAAATACAAAAGTGACAACATAATACTTAGTTTCCTGCTACAAAATCTTAGGCAAAAAATATTTTTGCATGTAGTAATGGATTTCATCCATTTGCTGGCTTACAGTAGTTAATATTTGTGCATTAAGCTGAACTGTCAGAATGTGCCACTGTGCTATAGTAGTGGTCCAAGCTACATGCTAAAGATTTTGTTTCCATGCTCAAACACAGCTTGCACAAACTGCTTGAAGACTCTGTCCATATAAGTGCACTTCCTTGGCCATATTCCTTCCAGAAAACCAATGTGGCCTCCACAAGAAGTCAGAACCAAAGCAACATTTGCATTTTGCTTGGCGGTTTCTACTGGTATAGCTAAAAGGAGAGAAAAAAAAAACGTATAAACATATTTAAGTCCTTATTTCTCTAAGAAATGTCAGCTACCTGAATAATTTCTTTTAATTTTTTTGCACTTTTTTTTTATAAGAATATATATATATACATGAATAAGCACACACAACACACCTTCAACTTACTACAGCGCTTGGGATCATGGATGTGTGCTCTTCATCATGAGCTTACCTTAGGTATGGCATTTCTCCACATGCTGTGAAAGTTTCAGAAATCACCAGGCTTGATGCTTCCCTCAGTCACACTCGTGTGAGGGCTCTCATGTTAGAGCAGGTTTACAATTCTGTATAACCAGTGGGAGTGAAAGGAGAACCAAGCCTGCAGTTTTAGGAATCTCAACTTAGGAACTTTGGAACTGGCACTTTAGTAGTGAATCCACCTTCTTCTGATAAAAGATTCCAAAAATAAACTTTTCATGTTGCTTTACATTTTGTCTGAGATATCCTATTTAAGAAGACTGAAGAAGTTCCTGTGATCTCATTATGATTATGCCTGATTCACCTTGTGTTTACTCCTGTGTACTTGGGCGGTACGAAGCAAACACAGTAAGAGATAGTGAGAGCTCTGAAGAACTCACAGTCTAAAAAGGCTACAGGCAAAGGGGCCAAGTTGGCAAGTTGGCCAAGCTCTTTTCAGTGGTGGTGGCCAGTGACAGGACAAGGGGCAATGGGTGTAAGTTGAAACGCAGGCAATTCCATGTGAGGAAGAGCTTCTTTCCTGTGAGGGTGACAGAGCCCTGGCACAGGCTGCCCAGGGAGGCTGTGGAGTCTTCTTTGCTGGAGATCTTCCCAACCTGCCTGGATGCTGCCCTGTGCCCCGTTGCTCTGGGTGTCCCTGCTGGAGCAGTAAGGTTGGACTAGATGATCTCTGGAGGTCCCTTCCAACCTCAGCCATTCTGTGATTCTGTGAAACAAATACACCAGGTCCCAGAAATCTGCCTCCCGTGACGCTAGAAAATGGTTTGGGTAGTGCTAGACTGAAGGGCTAGAAGGGCTAGAAGTGCACTGAAGTGCTAGAGCAAGGTCTCTTCTCTTGCTCTGGGTTAGTTTTCAGCGGGACGAGCTCCCCGATGCGACGCCCCACGCTGGAGGCAGCGGCTGAGACGCAGCAGGACAGCGAGCGGCCTGAGGGCCGTGACGAGGCGGCCTCTTCCGCGGCGGGCAGCCCCGGGCCGGCTCAGAGCGCACATGGGCTGGAGCCGCCACGTCCTTCGGCACTTCCCTTGGCGAAAGCTGGGAGAGGTCGCCTAACAGCAGGAACAGCACGTCAAATTTCAAGGAGTGTTTCAGGGCTGGCAGTGTTAGCGTAGGGACTGTGCCATGGCGGTGGGACACTGTGGCACTGCCATGTTCACACTCCTGGTATAAAACTTAGTCGCTTTAAGCAGTTTCCTCCAGGGAGGATAAACCAATGGCATCCAGGGCCAGGAGGGCATCCACTCGTGTTGTGCTGTAAGGGTCCTGCCAAACCACAGAGCGTCCTGAGGGAGACACAGGCCGAGCTCCAGAGAACAAGGCTTCTCTTGCAGAAAACCTCGGCTTCTCGGCTCCTCCGTGGCTGTTCATTTCTTCCACCCTTTGCCTCCTTCCGAAGTCGCGCACATCTAAGCTGTTTATATATAGAATCTGACATTTAGTAAATGGTTTTGGTTCTTTCCTAGGTGGAAGAAATGCTCCTTCTCACTCTCTCTGTAAAAAAATGTCCTTGGACTTTCCTTTGTTCAGCAGGAAAATTGCAAATACCTCCTCTGGATCTTTTAAAGCAATATTGAGGCAAGGCCAAAAAAAAAAAAATCAAGTCAATGGAATGAAAGCCTTAGGCTTGCTAGCCCGGGCTGGGGCTGGCAAGCCCAAGGGGCAGGTTTCCAGCTGGAAGCTGATCCAGAAAACAATGTAGTACTTCTTGCAGTGCAACATATGCATAATTTCCGAGCACAGCAAGCACTAGCCATGGTTTTGTTTCAGTTAATCTGTGATCTGCCTCTCCTGGACTCCATGCATGGACACGCTGCGTGTGCAGATGGTGGCTGCAATTCGTGTGCACCTCTGCCTCCTGCACAGGGTTTTGTCCCTTTCCCTTGCAGCAAGGCATGGGGCGCGTGGAGTGGAGCACGGGGCACATGGAGCAGAGCAGAGCATGGTGCGTGTGGAGCAGAGCACAGGACACGTGGAGCAGAGCCCTGCACGGAGCATGCAGAGCGGAAAGCGTTCAGGGAAGCGGGGAGGTCCCTCTTCCTGCTCCTGGCAAGGGATCGCATTTTCCACAGCCTCCCTGCAGCTGCCTCCCTGACACCCTGGGTGCTGGTGAGCGGGCCTAGAAGTGAGGACAGGGGTGACAAATGCTTAAAGAGGGAAAGATTTGATGCCCAAGGACCAGACAGCATGGGAATGCCCCTGATGCCACCTGACGCGCCAGCCGAGCGCTGGCCTGAACACACCTCTTAACTAGCTGGGGGAATAACGAGCTGCACACGCTGAGCTGTGGGAAAACAAGTCGGTCATTCCCCCTGCCAGATTAGAGTCCGAGTGTACCTAGAAATCCCCCTTCCTGCTGAGCGCCTTGCTGGGGCTGGGGAAGGAAGATGACAGCAAACGCCTCCTCCGTGGCGCCAGCCCACTGAGGGCAGAGCTCCCTGTGATTTCCGCACACTCCTCCCTCAAGGGTTGCTGAGCTCGTGGTGCCTCCCAAATCGATCCGCTAGTGGTCCCCAAGTGCCTGGTGGCCTCTAGGGAGCGGCAGGTGCTGCCTGCTTCCAACCAGCCACAGCAGCTCCCTCTGGGACACCTGGCACCACTTTGATGCTGCTGATCTTCTGCATCAGGTGAGGGGCGAGCTGCACACAGACCTGCACGGACGACATCTTCCCCGTCCTGAAGCTCTCCCTCTTCTAATTTCCATCCATTTGGAGCAGGGCTTGGCCACAGATCATTGTTCTCATCATGAGCCCAGCACTGTGCTGAATATGCAGCTTTTTATTTCCATCTGCAATGAGGACTTTCAGTAGGTGCCAAGGTTGACCTACTGTTACAGCTCTGCTCCTAGGGCCCCACGTTGAGCAGGAAAGCCCGTTCGTGGCACAGTCAACCTGGAACCAGAGGGGTGCCCATTTCTGCGAGTCCTGCCCAACAGCCTTTCTTGCTCTGCAGTCCATCAGCATTTCTTGCTCTACAGCATCTCAGGACAGACCCACAAAGGCTGCGTCGCTCCACACGGGCGAAATGCCGGCGCTGCCCGGCCGTGGGGCTGCTCTTCCCGAGGCTGCTCCGGACACCCTTGGCCACCCACAGCCATCCCCACAGTGCCAAAGAGCCAGGCTGACGGGCAAAGGGCAGCAAAGGGCAGGCAATGGGGCAGTGTGCGCTGGGCTCCAGGCGTAACCCGGGCCTCAGGCTTTCACTGACCAAAGCGGGTAGCTCTGATGCGCTGGGCACAGGTTTGGTATCTGTGATCACTGAACCCTGATGCAGCCAGATATGTGCAGAATCACCATGTTCAAAATCAACTTGTTGTATGTTCTTTCCTCAGAAGATATTTTTGAAAAGAAAAAGTAAAAATACACATAGGAAGCAGAATAGGCATAAGTAAATCATGGTTGTCTGACTTGCCATTCTTTTATTTGGCTTATTTCTTCATGTTACTTAAACCCTTGCCCTAACTCTTATCCTTTCCTATCCTTTCCCTTCCTATCCCTTTTCCATTCCCTGAACATTTGGGCTTTTCAGACAACTTCATTCAGTTTTGCTATTGACATAACGGGATGCAAGATAACACCTAGAAATGATTACTGTTAAGTCTGGGTTCAGAGGGACCAAAAAGGTTCAGAGAGCTCAGTAAGAAGTAACTGAGCTTCAAACACCCACCCAGTGGGTATCAGGAGGCAGCCGGGCAGCTTTCAGCCTGAGCCCAGCACTCGCCAGCAGTGACTCAAGCAGCTACTGGCTGAGCGTGAATATTATGAAATTTAACATTACGAGATGCTGCTAAAAGTGAGGGGAAAAAAATGCCACTTCAGATGAGAATTTAAACGTGACATTGGTAGTGAATGCCACTATTGCCTCTCTTTAATTTATTTCTGACCAGCACAAAAGGGCTTGATGCGGTTACAGCACACGTGTCCTCAAGCAGTGCCTTGCTTGGATCAGCTACAGCAGAGCAGCACCGTGTGGGGCAGCGCCGTGCATCCTCCTCGGCCTGCGTCCCACGTCCCACGTCCCATGACACGGCCGCTGCTGAGCCCGGCCATCCGCCCCGTGAAACAGCAGCCCAGCCAGGAAGGGCTGGCAACGAGCGCCCGCTTCCGAACACGGCGCTCAGGCCAAAGGGCACCTGGTCACAGCATATTCAGAGCAGTTCCTGAGAAGTACAAAGTGCATCGAAAGCTCCACGAGAAAGAAGGGTCAGGTAGAGAGAGGCAACAGAGTTGGCACCCGCGCCTTGCAAGGGAAGTTTCTCTTGACCAGCTCTGTGTTCTGTAGTGATGATGTGAACCTGAGTTCCTGCTCCCATCCTGCTGTCGGAAGGGGCATCTGGCTTTATAAAGGACATTTGAGCACAAAGGGGTTCTGGAACAGCCCTAATGAGTTTTGTAATCCCATTTCCCACTATTGGAGCCTACAGCTGTCTACAGTGGAAGCGGAAAGCTGCTTGAATGCGGGCGGGTGCTACTGGGAGCCCAGAGGAATCAAATAACCAGTTCCCAAAGTCAGAGAAACCCTGGAGCCTGGATGAGAACAAGGTCTGTGGCCTGGACTCCATCCTGGGCTGCCACGGAAGCTGCTTCTGGTGGCCACACGTGTGCGCGTGTCCATGCGCTCTTAGGACAGAACAGGCCAGGTGCAAGAGTGAAGCCACATCCCAGGACACCAGTCCCTTCCTGATATAAAGAACCAGCAGAAGAGCCTTAGTGAATAAACTGAAAATTAATAAATAATTAAGGAGCCAAGGATACACACATATAACAGGGCCATGCTCTTAGCTAGAAACAACATTTGTCCTGGCAGCCCTTCCTAAGATAAACTAGTTACCACTAGGACAGAGGTTTACAGCCAAAGCATAGCTCTTGCTGATAAGGAGTCAGTGAGTGGTGGCCTAACCTCCCAAAACCCATTGGTTCCTTGTCAGCAGAGTTGCATTTTGGGCTTTCAGTTCTGACTACAGGTGTGATACTTAGTCTTACACAACAGATCATTCCTATAAATCCCTGTAAACTGAGAGCTGTGTTTCTTTTAACGACCAGTACCAAGTTAAGAAGAGTTTGCTACAGATGCCCTCTAGGTCGAGCTACATGGGTCAGGTTTTGGCTCTTGAGATCTGGAGGTTTTGTTTTAAAAGGAAGGGACAGAGGAGTGCAGGATCTTTAGCAGCTTTAATCTAGCTAGCAAAGGTATCAGACCCAATGAGAACAGGTTGGAAAAGGTCAGCAAATCCTCTAGGCTTGTGCTTCCACCGCCACCTTTTCACTGCTGCTTTTACCTGTGTTACTTAGCCAGCTTTGCCACAGTTACTATTTCCTTTTTAGAGCTGAATTCACAAACAGACCTAAAGCTTAATGTTAAGGTGAAGCCTCTGTTCCCTCTCTGAGATACCTGTTGCAGAAGAAGGACACAATGCATCCTCTTTGTTCTGGGGGTATAGGGGAAATCACCCTAAAGGTCATAAGACCCACTAACATTTACTTTCTGCACCACTACCTAGAATTCATATTTGGACACAGACTTTAGGGTAAAGGCCATACTCTTATTTCCAGGACAGTATATCACAGAACCACAGACTGGCTGAGGTTGGAAGGGACCTCTAGAGATCATCTAATCCAACCCCCCTGCTCCAGCAGGGACACCCAGAGCATGGGGCACAGGGCGACATCCAGGAGGGTTTGGAAGACCTCCAGAGAAGGAGACTCCAGAGCCTCCCTGGGCAGCCTGTGCCAGGGCTCTGACACCCTCTCAGGAAAGAAGTTCTTTGCTTATAACAGAAATAGCAATTGGACAGATTCGAGGAAATCTGTCTGGTAAAGAGAGTATAAATAAAAAGAGACTGACTTTGGCTCAGAAAGCCCTTGAACTGGAAATTGCTGAAGGCAGATGCAGCATGCTGGGGGAGTACATGCTTGTCTTGATCTCACATTTTTTGCTAAGCATTTGTTTGGCCAATGTCAGGGCCAAAGGATAGAGGAAATCAGACTGCTCTCTGTGGGAACAGCCCCTTGTATGTCACACTTGTCTCTAACGGGTATTCAAAACAGGAGCAGTAACGTAAGCGTATGCATGTTTTTTGTATGTGTGACATATGTGAATGCACACAAACAGTAAATACACACGATCACTGCCATTTCCTTTTTTTGTTGTTCTCATCACTTTGCTACTCATTTTGGTTCTGTGACTCAATACACAACAATCTCTTCCTGGTGGCTGAAGAAGACTTCCCTGAAATAAACCAAGTGCATGAACTTCATAATTAAAGGTGTCAATCATTAGCCGCTGAAGAGTGTGACCTTATCCAGCTGTTAATTATAGTTTTCCCTACACATCAACTTTTCTTCTCTTTCACTTCTTAAATACTGTTACCAGTAGACAGACTGCAGGAGTGAGCTGATCTTTTAAATACAATTAGCAATGTGGTTAAAAATCAAAAGTAAAATGTTCACAATGATCAAGTGTGTGGTAGAAAATCAAAAGGAAAAGAAACTTTTCTGCCTATCGGTTACTAGCAACTAATACAACTGCTAGTTGGCCAGCTTCATCCTCTATGGAGAGCTTTCTTAGTATCAGTGTGTCTCTTTCCAGGAGTACATATTGACTACATCACTTTCCCTTATCCTAGATTTTGGCCTACATGGTTGTCTATGCCTTCCCCCTCGCCCCAATCCCTATTTTCAATTATCAGGCACTTGAGTTTATAGCACTGAGATCATGAGCAGCAACAGTTTATGTGTATTTCAAGTCATTTGACATGTGAGAAAGTCACAGAAATCTTTTATAGGAACTGGCTCAAAGCATGATAATAAAAACACTTAGCTTTCACTGAACTCCTAACAGTTCAGAAATCTTAAACTGGTCTCCTTATTATAGGCTGTCTTCATATACAGAGGGCTTAAGTGGGAACTCTGTGGGTCAGTACATCTGATAACTTCTTTACATTGAGCTATAGCACATCGTAAAAGGGCACTTTTCTTTCTTTAACTATAAAGAGAACCTCAAGAGAATGTATCAGACATAGGCACCCAGCACTTAACCAGATGACTGCCACCCCATGTACTACTGCGTTCTGTACTAGTCAGTCTTCTCCATTATTAGACATTATATCTGTCTTTAAAATGTGCTACGCTGTAGAATAAATCACAAAACTGATCCATGCCTGGATGGATCAGTTTGACCTGCTGGACAAGTAATGTTTAAATAAACCTTCGTACATGGTTCATTCTCAGACCAATATAATTTGTCTTCATGATTGCACATACAGAGAAATAAATTTTTAAAAGCCTAGACTTACCATGACCAGGTGAGAAAACATCATCCACAGAGTTGAGACATAACACTGGAATCCCTACTGATTTCAGCTTGCGGCATGGGCTGGCATCTTCATAGTAATCATCAATTGTGCGGTAGCCAAACATGACTGAAGTGAACTGCTTATCAAATTCTCTAACAGTTCTAGCCTAAAGCACAAAATTCAAATAGGGAACTATGTCAGCATTTGGAAAAGAGTATCGGGCTAATGCAGAAGTAATATGTTCACGTACCTTCATCACAAGATCCATATTAAATAATTTCTCCAACATTCGTCGATGCCTATTAAAAAGAAGAGAGGAAAACTGGGGAGCTTTGCTTTTTTGCTTTACAAGTAGATGTATAAGTTCTCTGCATTACAGATAAATATATTGAAATAACTCCCTACACAAGAATATGCTTGTTTTTAATGTTCTGTCATGTTAAAAACAAATCTGTCTGGAATCCAAAAGCAGGAGAATTGTTTATTTCTATGCAGGCACATCCAGAAACATACTCAGAATATGCATTAGTCATTAGTCATTAGAAAGATGCCAAAGATTAAAAGAATCAGATTAGAATTCAAAATACACTTAAATTTTACCAAGTGAAGGGCTAGTCCTTTCCATGTTTTTGCAGTAAGGCTTACTTTTAGAAATTAGTGTGTGTGTGTAGATACATATATATATATATATATATATATATATATATCATCCTACTCAAACTCAGTATGTGCATATACCCCAGAATTAATTAAGGATTGTTTTACTCATGAATCAAGAAGTCTGTTAATGTTGTGTTGACTCCTCTGAGGAAGACAGAGATTCAGCCACAATCACGAAAATTTGTCTTGTAAAAAAGGTCTTTTTAATTTCAAAACTTACAGGAGAATGCCCACGGAACAGCTATGTGAATGTTGCTACATGCTGTAGATCTCACACTAACACCTTTCTACCTTGCTATACAGTTTGGAAGGCAACTCACCTGCTGATGGAAGATTGTAGACAAGTCGTCAAGTAATAGTTGAAAAGAAGCCAGTTTAGCGGCTTCTCCAGAGATTCTACAGATTCAAAAACATTCCAACCCGCAGAGAAAATTGCAGCTGCCATTAAAGGAGTGTCTCTGCCAGTTTTGCCCAGGTAATTTAAAAGAAGCATGCTACAAGCAGAAATGAAAAACAGAATCTTATATACTATCAATTTTTTTTGTTTCAGTTCAAAACAAAAATAGCAACCAGCTATGGGTTTTTCTTTTGTCTGATTTTTCATATAATTTCTTGTATCAACAATATCAACTGTGCCTTGCAGTTTTAGAAGGTATTTAACAAAAATCAATATCTGACTCATGGAGTTTGCTTTCACTCTATGTTCAGAGAGTAATTGAGTGAGCTGTGTGGGATGTGGAAAAGAGAGCATTTAAAAATAAATAGAGGTATAATATTCTTACTTATATCAGTAAAGAAGAAGGAAAAGGTCATGTCAATGTACATTACTCCAGGCACTAACAAGTCCCAAATTGTCAGCAATTTTTTTGCAAATAGTTTTACAACACTTCATTGGTCTTAGAACTCTTGAAAACTACTGATGAATCTGGTAAGTCCACCCAATAAATGCAAGCTGCTCCTGGTCTGCTATGAAGCTGTCTTTTGTACTGAAGGCAATACCTTTAACCCACCTCATATCATGAGAGAATGCAGCTGTTCTTTAGCATGAAGTACGCAAAGAATGAAGTGGTGGATAATTAATGAAATCAGCAAAAATACAAGTCAAATAAATGACTTAGGTCCTGCTTTTCTGACCAATTGCAATTTACAATCTCTACTGCTGAGGTATAATTGAGATAAGAAGGAAGATTTTGCCACTACCTGACTCTTCAGATGTAGAAAAATTAAATTAGCAAAAAGACAGTGAAAGTAAAAAAAATAGAAAAGCTAGGAGTCTTACTTTACTGTCTGAGACCACAAATTTTCTTGGAAACCAACAATCATTTGAATATCAAGCCTTCTACTCAAACCTTTATTAGCTCTACAGCTTAATATAGCTCCCTGGACCATCAGCAATCTGTACCTTCACTTCATCTGCCCTGCTGTGAAGGCAACAAGGCCATGAGGTAGCCTGCCATCACACGGATTTCATCCTTCTGCACCATCTATGGAATGACAGGACAGCAGTGCAAAAGAGAGACCAGTTTTTGATCTTCCAAAGACCTGCCGATTGGTAGGAAGCAGGAGAGGAAAGAACAGATGGACCGTGAGTGTGCTCCTGCAGTCAGCTCACACGTGGACCCAGTGGAGAGGGTCACCCGTGACGCATGTTGGAGATAAGGTAACGTTCTCCCTCCCACTCACACAAGAGGGAAAACCTGTGAGTCATCAGTCCACTTAGTATAAGAAGAAAATTGGGCCATAAAACCAAAAAATGTTGTGGCTAGACAAAAAATAAGCCACTTCTCTAAAGAAATTTACAGAATATATATGGTAGGAGAAGCTTTAGGATTCTTTCCGTTAGAAAACATAGGCTGTTTCCATAGCAATATATCCTGAAGATTAGCAGAGCAAGTGGGTTTTCCTTTACATTTATACCCTTGTGAAGTGAATAATTATTTTTCTTTTTTTACTGGGCACACTTTTAATATATAAATTAACTGGCTATTCAGAAAATTTTTAAAAAAACTATTATAAGATTAGGATAAGTGGATGATTCTTATAATATGCCCCAATTATTTTAATTTTATGCATGCAAGTGCTCCAATTTACTCTGAAGCATGAAAACTGTCCTCATGTGGCTGATTGAGGAGTCTTCCAGTTTTGTGTAAAATTAAACATATACCTTATCTTTGTAGTATTGTCCTTAAAAATGTATTGGAAGAATAAAGTGGAGAATCTAAAATCACCCAAAATCAAGCAGTAGTGGTGGTGAGGTAAAAGCCAAGAATGTGCCACACTAACAGACTCTGCTACCATTTAGGCTGCCATAACTAGGCTAATCTGAAGTCAGAAATGACACTGAGTTGGTCTTTTGGACCGTGCATAGAAGTTCAGCTTCTACTGAGTCTTTCAGCCCTGAAAACCCAGCACCTTCCCTAAACCAGACAGACCCTCTTAGTTTTAGTGTTGTGGTGCACCAAACATGAAATTAATCACAAAGAACTATTATGCTTTAAGTCTGCCTCTCAATACTGAAACAATATTGAAGCAAGTCTCCAGGTGTGCACAATGCATATTTTTTGGCTTTGACCATCTCCAGTGAAACATGTTTTTGCAATACAGCATGTTATTTCACGTTCTGCATGCAAAAAAGACTGAGTTGGGGAAGAGAGAACATCTCACAAAGTGGGACCATAGCCAGCAGGCTTGCTCACCTCAAGGATAGAGTTTTAAACAAGGTTTATCAAAGGAAAGCCTGAAGCTTGACCAAAACCTGAGGAGAAGTGAAGGCCTGGCGAGCACTGAGGAACCGCCCCCAAAGAACAGTGTGATGGGGGACGCTCTCATGCTTCCCTGAGAAGGTAGCGTGACTGCAGCTCATCTCATGTGCCAGTGCACAAACACATAGCATGGAAAAAAAAAAATAGAAGGAACTAGAAATCCGTGTGTAGTCACAGAACTACAGGCTCATGGGGACCACAGAGATGTGGAGGGCTCACGGGCTCACAGGACTACAAAACTGTGATGGATACAGATACATTCTTTGTGAAAGACTGACTGGGAAGGCAAGGAGAAGGGTTTGCACCTTAAAAAGGAATGATTTTCAATGTAGAGAACTTTTCTGTGGTGTGGTTTATAAACTGATTAAGGGTTCATATGTCAAAATCAACGAGGAGGCTAACGAAGAGGATATCATGGTAGGCATCTGCTACAGACCTCCTTATCAATAGGAAGGATTAGAGGAAGTCTATTAGAAGTCTTCAGAGAGCTGGAAGAAGCTTCATCATCATAGGTCCTGATTCTCACACGGAACTTCAACCATCTTGACACTGATTGGAACAACACGGAGCAAAAATAAACCAGGCAATTTCCAGAGAGTAGTGAGGACAATCTTTTGATACACAGTCTATGACTCAACTAGGGGAAATACTCTATGGATCTGCTATCACATGTATCAAAGAACTTCTCAGGTGTGTGTAGGTGGATATCAGCTTTGGCAGCCAAGACCATTGATGGTGGGTTTTACCTGAGTGGGTTCCCATTGCACGGGGTACCCATGAAGAAGGGGAAAAGGAAGTAGGCAAGCAGAGAGAGAACAGACTTAAATTTGTTCAGGGATCTTATCGGATTCATCCCATGTGAGAGAGTCCTGAAGGGCACAAGGCCTCAGGGGTACTGTTTGATCTTCAGGGACAACTATATGATCTTAAAGCACAAGTATGGCACATCTTGACTTGCAGAAAGTTGAGCAACAGTGGCAGAAGACCACGTGATTAACCAAAAAACTCCTGCCTAAATACAAATGCAATAAGAAAGTATCCAGAAGGTGGAAGTGGGAGGGGCTGCCTGGGATAGAAAGCAGGTTTGCAGTCGGGCAAGCTGAACATGAAAGAACAAAACACCCTTGCAGCAATGCAGAAAACTAAATTTGTGCTGTGTTAGTAAGAGCACAGCAAACAGGTCTAGAGAAGTCATTATTTCCCTGTGTTTGACACCTGTGAGATTGTATATGGAGTATTGGGTCCAATTTTGGGCTCTCCAGGCAAGACAGACACTGAGACACTGAAAGGATTCCAGGAGATGGCCACCGAGATGATTAGGGGGCTGTAGAACATGACACATGGAAGGCTAAAGGAAATAGATCTATTTGGACTGGAGAAGAGATGGTTAAAAGGGAATCCTATTACTGTTTTCAGTTACCTAAAGAGTGGTTGTAAGGAAGAGAAAACCAGACTCTTCTTGGAGATGCAAAGTGAAAGAATAGGAGGCAAAAGCTCAAACTGCAAAGAGGAAAATTCCAGATGGGAAAGGAATAGCTTTCCACAGAGAAGATCAAACACCGGAACAGTTTGTCCCGAGAGTTTTTTGAATTTTCATTTTTGGAGATACTAAAAAACTGACTGGATAAGGACCTACATAACCTGATCTAACTTCGAAGTTGGCCTTGTTCTGAGCAGGACCAGTTGATCTCCAGAGGTCGCTTTGTACCTAAAAATGCCCTAAATCCCATCTACATAGAAGACACTGGCATAATCACATCAGCAATAATGGTACCACTATCCCTGCAGAATTTCTCAGAGAAGTTCTCTTCTCCTATGGTTGCACTAAAGAGGCTGCCTGAACGTTTTTGCTAGTCTCTAGATCTTTTCCTCACCAACTGTGCTGTCTGTGGTTTCTGGAGAGAAGCCAGGACAGAGCAAATCTAAACAGCACTTGCTAGATCAACCCATACTCGTTTTCTTCATGCTTCTGAGCTAGACAGAGCAGATACCCACATCTCTTCCAGCAGAACCTACCCACATAACCCAGAGAGGTAAAATCTTCCAGAGTTTGCTAAGAAACACAATATGTTAGCTCCAGCTCCTGTTTTTTATCCCTCTGTTCCAAAGATGACCTTCATAGCTTGTATTGCCCCCTCTTGTCTGTCAATCTGCCTGTCAGTGTCCCCTCTCATTCTGCCCCCTCCATCAGTGTTTGAATGTTGGCCATTCAACGTCACCCAACACAGAGCTAAAGGCTTTGAAGATGTCAAGTTGCCCAAAGTGTTCTGAGTATCGACTGCTGGAGACAGACCCAAATTAGTCTGAGCTCAGCAAGTTATGTAAATATATTGCAGAGTAGTAATTTATAATCAGGCTGTAACAGCCTTGTTTTGTGATCACAGTCACACTGAGACTCCTTTTACATAATTTCTTACCCTCCCATAGAAACACCGGCTGCCATGAACGGAGCTGAGGGGTGCAGGTCGTGCACGTGGTGAATAACTGCTTCCAGATCCTCCGTGTTAGCAGCACAGTAAGTCCTCGGTGTCTGTAGGGAGGCAGGGTGGAAAGTGCCATCATAAGCTTTTGCATCCTCCTTTAAGGACAAAGCAAACTGTACTGTACAGCAAACTGATCATTTATGGAAGGTGACAGATTAAATGTTTCTTATGAAACTGTACTAAGCGGCAAATATGAACCCAGATCACTTCAAGAGGAGGTGGAGGAGGGAGTTAGTGCTAACACTTGCTATCATTACATGAAAAACATTTTGGTATCTGCAGCTATCAACCATTAGATGAAATCTGAGCACAGACTGCAAGCTAAACTAGATAAAACTATAACAGAACTAGATCAGAGTTAAATCAGAACTAGGCAGGCACTGATATTTTTAAAATACCCTAAGGAAATGCAGACAGATCAAGATGGCTGTAATAGGAAAGTTACAATGACAATTTCATCATCTTTATCTGCATCTAAATACAGTAGAAAATACGTGAGCTTGCATTTAAAATGTAGTCAATATTCAGATCTCACACACAATAAAAGCAAATAAGGCTGAGGGAGCTGGGCCTGTTCAGCCTGGAGAAGAGGAGGCTGAGGGGGGACCTGATCAGTGTCTATAAATACCTCAAGGGAGGCAGTGAGGAGGAGGGGGCGGCCTCTTTTCAGTGGTGGCCAGCAATAGGACTAGAGGAAACAGCCACAAACTGAAGCACCAAAAGTTCCACAGGAACTTAAGGAAAAATGTCCTGACAGTGAGGGTGACAGAGCCCTGGCACAGGCTGCCCAGAGAGGTTGTGGAGTCTCCTTCTCTGGAGATCTTCAAAACCTGCTTGGATGCAGCCCTGTGCCACGTGCTCTAGGTGACCCTGCATGTGCAGGGGGGTTGGACTGGTTGATCTCTGAAGATCCCTTGCAACCTTAACAATTCTATGAATCTAAATAAATACATAATAACATTTACCAGTGGATTTTATGTAATTTATTACAATTCTCTATTAGCTGAGGGAGTGAAAGCATGCCTAGCATCTTTTCAGATCTTGATTTGGGACTTGCAATGATTTCACTGCCATCACTGGCAGTCGACCCCTTTCCTGCTTACGGAAGCGTGAGCAGAGCTATAGGGTTTTACCTGTGTGCACACCCCATTGAGCTCACAATCGGAGGGACTGTCGGGAATAATGGAAGGGATACAATTATCCTTTGGGACAATAAGAATCTCAGTAGAATAATTTTTTCTACCTAGCTTTCACCTCCACCAAGACAGAGCTTTTAACTACACAACTTTTCCTACACATATTAGTGAGTGAGGTGACCCTGGCTCAACTTAAGGTAGTAGCTAACCTGCCAAACTTCAATATAATCTTTAAAAATAAATATACTAATATTTAATTATGAGTTTCTTGAAATAATTTGTTGCCTGAGGCAACAATATATTTTTAGGGTTTTTAATGTTTTTAGGTATTTTTATTGTTAACGGAAATGGCTTTCCATTAAACAGCCTGGAAATTTGTGGTTAATTTAACAGGTTTAATTAGATGAAACTAATTACTTAAAGCTTAATTTAACAAGAATACTAGGAAGTTAAAGATAAAATACAGAAGGGGAAAAAGAAGCTAAACCCAGATAATAAAAGCTGAAAATGTCTTCAATTTTCACTTATTTTGTATTTCCAATTCTCATCCAGATAAATCACTGTTCACTTTATTACACTCTGTTAATTATAAACAGTGTGAGTGTGTTTTATTTTAATTAAATTGCCAAGCTTACAAGGAAAAAAATATTTTTGGAAACTAGGCTCTAATGTATTCTGTGTGAAAGTGTTTTTGATTAAAGGTGTTATAGAGCTAGAGAGAGATGTTTAATTTCAGTTAATGCATGAAAAAATAATGTATAGTTATTCACTGTATGAATATGTTTTAAAACACCATCTTAGGTCAGATCATTGACTGTGGTCATCTAATATTTGATTATTCCATAAAAGGAACTCACAGTAACTTCCAATAACACATACAAGAAGTGCATTTTTACCTTTATATGGTTTTTATTTAACATAAATTTAAATCTATCTTTAAAGCGACTAGAAAAAGAATTATTTGCATGATTAATTTCTACTGTGTTGCTCAGCTCCACATCAAAATCATTAACTGAGGATTTTATATTAAAATGTAAAACCCTCCTTAAAGAAAATGTTATAATTTCAGCGTTTTCTTTCAGAGTAAGTTCTTATAATGCTTAAATATGTAAATCCGATTACACTAAAATACCAACAATGCATCCAAACAAGAGATCTTTTAACGATTCAGAAATTCATCAATAAGGACTTTGTGTGTCACAAAACTGCTTTGTAGACCCATCTCCAAAAGTATGTGGAAAACTACTCTTAACATGGCAATGTGCTCATGAAAATGCTTTAACTGATTATGGGAAAGAATTCCGAGCTTTTTAAATGTTGAAACCAGTGGATTAATGAAAAAATGCAAAACAATACCAAGTATTATGCACACTCATACCAGCTGCAGAACTGTCAACAAAATGCATAGGAAGAAACAAAGCTTATTCAGCAATATTTCATCACATCTTGTGCCTAGCCGTGGAAAATGCTTAGCTTCGAGATGCAGTCACCTGGGGAACTGCAAGTTATTTCTGAGCCAATGTGATGTGTATGTTCTGAGCACAACAAGTTTCCTCTTAGAGATGAACTTGTGTGAGAATTGCTGAGAAAAATACAAAAAGACTTCTAACTTTTAGTGTCTGACCATCTAAGTAAATCTGATTAGTTCATTTAATAATACTTAAGATGGATGAATGTTAATGGCAAAGCTTATTAACCATATCAAAATCCATTTTAAATTCGTATCGGCAGGTAGCATCTAATTATCACTGCTCATATTTGGATTTGTGTGTTAAAACAATAGGAAAAAATGTACTGAGTGAAGACCATTTCCTGAATGTGTACATTTTAAATACTGAGGTGTTTGGGGAGAGAAAACAAAGTGTAAAGATTGCTCATTTTACTCTTACAGATATTAATGATGTAAATAATTTCCTAAAATGAAAGTTTACAGAAATGTTGTGTGGACAGGGAGACCTCTTTGAGTTTTAAAATAAAATAAATAAAAGATGATTATCAGTGACCAACCAGATGATGAGGTTCTCCTCCTGTGCCTTTCCAACATGAGCTGTGAGCATCTCATTTAAAACCAGGCCTACAAACAGACACTGCTAATTCTACATATAATGCGTATACATGAAAAATATTCATTTTAAAAGTGATCCTTACCAAAAGTTCCTCTCCTGCAATTCCTCGATTGTTAAAAACCACACATCTAAAAATTGACAAAATAAAATTGATTATATACAAAACCCACACATCTAAAAATTGACAAAGTAAAATTGATTATATACATTTCTATACAAGGATCATTTTAGATGGCTTGTTTTTATAAAATAAAATAAAATAAAATAAAATAAAATAAAATAAAATAAAATAAGAAATAAAAAATGAAATAAAATAAAAAATAAAATAAAAATGAAAATGCATTAAAAATGAGCCAATTCTACAAACACATTTAGCACATAAGCATTTACAGTCTTATAGATTCTCAAATCTGACCTGTGTGAAGGGGCCTTTACGCCAAAGTCACTGGCAAAAGTCTGGGTGAGCTCTGGGACTTGTGGGGCAGGTGGGATTTTGGGATGGGAGCCACGGGAGCTGCCTGAGGGCAGTAAGTGCAGCTAATGCTGCCTGGCCCCTGCGCTGGCCAGGAGCGAACCCCCGACTACGTGAGCGCAGTGCTGGGCCTGGCCTAGCTAGCGCTGCTCTGAAGGACGGAGTCGTGCACCCATGTGCACGTGTCCTCCACATCGATGTAATTGCATCAAAGAGCAAAACAGCCAAATCAAAATTATAATGGCAGCTGAGTCAAAGATGTGAACAACTTCCTCGAGGTGGTGGGTTTTTTTTTCCTCAATAGCAGAAGTTGCCATTTTCTTTATCCTGATGGGAGCTGCTGAATTTTCTACTAGTATTATCTCAATTTAGGGATATATGTTTTTCTTAGATAATCTTCTGCTATCTCAGTGTGGTAATTTTATTAAATGAAAAGAATAAATATTTTCAGGTAAGTTAAATGCAATCAAATTGACTACCTTTGGTGTTTTCCAAATGTTACTATTTAAAAAACAAAAATATATAATTCTGTTCAAATCTGGCTATAAACCTTCTTAATGCCATACTCTCTTTTCTTAGGTGATCAAATAGGGATATTTCTGTCAGAATAAATAAAAAAAATAGTACTGAGAAGCTGTTGATTTGAGGGCTTTCCTACGATGATATTTTTTATTGTTAAATTAAGTATAAGGTGGTTTTGAAAGTACCTCAAGCAGTTAAAATGCTGCATTACTTTCATAGTTTAATAAGGCAGTTATCGAAATCTCCAAACAGAGAATAGATAGCCAGGCACAAAAATAAATGGTCATATATACCTATCTGGAGAACTTAACACGGTCAGTGTGAGGAGGCAATCTGCAGTGACCAAATGCAATATCCCAAGTACAGATCCTGGAGCAGTGACAAGGCATTTTTAAGCACAGTAGCAGCAATATGATTACATAAGGGAATCTACATAATTGACTAATCCACTTATCTTGCCCAACTCTGACCAGTAGCCTTAACAGCAAAACGAAATGAGGCAGCTAAGAGGTTAGAGGGCTCTCCTCTGAGCACCGCCAGCAGCAGCAGCAGGACGGGAGGCCGGGCCGCTCTGTGCCCGGGAGCCGGGGAGGCTGCTGAGCTGGGCGGTTTTGCATTCAGGAGCTCACCTCCTCCTAGGCCTGCTCCCAACGCAAGCCCTCCACACAAGCCTTCTTGGAGCTGAGTACAAAGCCCTCTCCAGAAAGTGCAACGTTAGCACAAGCGAGTCCTGGTGCTACAACTTGAGGAGCGGCAGCGGAGGCCTTAGCTCTCCTCCACGGCAATGTGGAGTCTGTAGATACTGAAAGACCCCTTTGGAATTCACTGCCTGGTACATAATTACATTATTATTATCATTATTATTATTACTACTACTACTTCCTTACATAAACTGATTTCTCTACATCTCACCTGCCTTTGGAAGACATCTTATACCTACTTATATTTTATCATATTAGAACTAATGAAAGGCAATGAAATACAACAGCACCTATATCCAAGGGTTTCACTTTGATGGATCATATGGAGAATGTAGGATTCTTTGCTCGTCCCTGTCAGACCAGGCAGCAACAGGACAGTGGGCCTTGTGCTGGCATCCGGGTAATATAAGCTGTCATTATTATCAAACCAGTCCAGTGAAATCTGTCCTCCATCTGCTGTTTTAATGAGCTCGCTGAAAGGCACATTTCAAGACAACAATGATTAGATTTAAAAATACATCCATACTATTAAGAGTTCTCACAGCATACAAATTACCAGGTGTGAAATCTTATTTTTTGTATAAGTTTTAATCTGAAAAGAATAAAACGCCACCCAGCTAGCTGTGTTTGTACGTTTGCCATTCACAAAGTGCCACACCTCCAGGTGACGCGAGTTAGTTCAGCCAGTCCGTGGAGCGATGCCAGTTTTCAGTGTCTGAAGAACTGGCCTGTCATGATTTACTGCTGGTGTCCCGGAGTCCTGTCATTAACATGTGTTTGGGCATTGCCTGTATTTTATACAGGCCTGTAAACTGTGGTTTGCCTTTTTTATTGTCTGTGAATCTTTTGATAGAGCTCCAGATAATCAACATGTTAAGCATTTAGCAGATTTATTTTCCCTTTCCCAGGTAAGAAGCATTTATTGGCTTGGTACTTTGGATGGATGGCACTTTGTGTCCAAAACAACGTTTGTGTTTTAAACACACAGAACATGAGCACACACTGTTATAGATTTACAGCTTCGGTAAAGCTAGGATCTGATACTATATCTCCACCAACGTTGATAGAATGTGCTCTTAAAACATTCATCTTAAGAATGCAACAAATGTGACAATATCCCAAGAAGATAAGCACGCATCGAACACGAAGGTTTCGGTCTCATTTTAGCAGCACAGAGAGTCTTTCCTTTTCTCCAACAATGAACACACTGCATGAGAAGTTTGGAGCAGGAACTACCAAAATAGAAGTCCACCTTGCATTCAAAAGTACAGCCTTGATGGCATCCACTCAAGATGTTAAAGGCTCAAGTGAGCCTTGCTGGGCTCACTAGCTCAGCTTTGCCCTTTTTCACTAATGGGAAGTAGATGCAATGCTGGCAAGTAGTGCCAACACAATCTCAAATGGGGCAAAATAAGCACTGCTGTGTGGATCCATGCCCCTCTTACCTCATAAACCTTGAAATTCAAAGTATTCAAGGGCTAGGAAAAGTGGGGACGGCAATACTGCTGAAATGTTTCCTAGTTACTGAAACGAAGGGAAGCTGCTACACGCTAACTCTATTCTACTATGCAAAGAGAGCTGAAACAACTTGTGCCGTGTCCAGGTTCCGGAGCATAAAAGTACTGCTCCTTAGCTCTTGTGCCAAGCTAGACTTCGTTTGCCAGACTGAGTCTCATTCCTGTGTGAGGGGGAGCAACTGAGGACAAACAATAAATACGTTTTCTTTTCTTTTCTTTTTCTTTTTTTTTTTTTTTTTCCTAACAGAAGTTAGATATAAAAGAACAAAAATAAACCCTGCAGGTGTAAGTTGCTCCGGAACTCACAAAAGTTTTATATACTCGTAACAGGATGGAATGTGGCCATACTACAATTAGGGTTGAAGCTGTCAACTGAAAAGACACCATTGCGTGGCTTTTGCATGCAGGTGGCATTCAATCACCAGACCATTTAAGCACCTTAGTTCCAACGTTGCCACCTGTACTTCAGGGCACTAAAACTCCCGGAGCTGCCACAGAGCAATTTGGGAGCCTCCCTCAAAGGACAGAGATGGTTCCAAGCATGGGATCAGTTGTAAGGATGGACATACAGCAGAAAAGACGGGCATGAGCTTGAGCAACCGCAGTAGCTGCTGCACGCTGAGAGTGCAACAGGGTATAAGCACGACCCGGGACGCAGCGGGCAGCTTCCCGGAGGAAAGGCACTTACTTCCTGTACTCTACTTGGGGTCTGGACGTGATGAAGGGCCGCAGGAGCGTCTGCACGCGGCCTTCCCAGCACCAGATGGTGGGATAGTACGTTTCCGTCAGCACGGGGCAGTGCTCCTCGAGAAAGCGGCAGAAGCGGTCATTGCTGGCCACCAGCTGGGGTTTCTAGGAAGGGAGGCCATGGTCAGGCACTCGCGAGAAAAGAGTCGGCAAAAGTCTCTTTAGATCCTCTCCCAAGAAACAGCTTGCTTTCGCGTGTTTATTTGAAATGTTGTTGTTTGTTTGTTTGTTTTCATGGTAAAGAGGTAAGTAAATCGAAACTAAATGAAATGCCAAAATGCCCAAAAGAAAAAACAAACAGTAAATATTATGGATTCGTTATCTATTTCTGAAATATATGCATAGACGCACGCACACAGTTAAGGCCTGCTTTCAGTGGCACTGTGCTGCTCATTAGGAACCAAAGCCACGCTGTCTCACAGTGGGTGGCAAAGTTGTTACCGAGCCGCTCGTACGGCACCACACAGAAATGAAGCGCAGTCCGTCCACTTCGGCTGTGCACTCGGGGTACCTGCTTTAACCTGGGAGGACACTCGCTCTCCTCCCATCTCCTGCTACGTTGCGCAGCTGCTCTCAGCTCCCGCAGGGCTCGGCACACGGGTGTTTTTCTCACATGACGCGGGAAAACCTCAGTACCAAACAGCTCCCAAACTAACAAACAACCACATTTCTTAGACCCGTCTTTGGTCCTGACTCTCCAACACACAAGCACTAGGAGGGCAGTAAGAGAAGACTTAAAGAAAGCTGTTACCCTGCACAGAAATAGCAGCATGTCCTCCTGACCCTTCGTTTTTCTCCTTGGGCAAAAAGAAAGTCTCCTCTTCTGGGGAGCATGGAGAGGAAGGGTACGGCCTCAGCAGCTGTATGAATGGGGATGGCAACGCGCATGTCCTCACCAGGCATAAATCCTTGGATATGCATATTTCAGTTTGATTGAGCATTAGCTGAGGCACTGCCAGCATTGCTCCAAGGGGCCGCTCTCCATCAGATTAGGAGTCTGGCTCCCTGCTACCCAAATTATCCGCGGATGCCGGGCTTATTCGCAAAGACGGCACCAGCTGGAGGACACAGGGAAGTGCCCGAGCCCCGTAACGAAACAGAAACACGGGGATAAAGGTGGCGGAGCAGGTCCCGCAGGCGGAGAGGAGGAAGAGGAGGGAGCTCTTCTGCGCGTCCCGCGGCCCCGCTGCCCACCCGCAGCCCCCGCCGCGGCAGCCGCGCTTCGGGGAGGCCCCGGCGCGGCGGGGCCGCCACGGGCCGGGGCTGCGCGCGGGACGGGGCGGCGCGGGGAGCGCGGGCGCCCGCGGTGCCGCCCCACGAGCGAGTCCCGCCGTGTCCCCCGGGGGGTCCCCGCTGCTCTCCGGGGGTGCGCGCGGGCTCGGGGGCTCGGGTGACCTTGGCGCTGCGCCCTCCCGCTCACCTTGGCGATGCTGCTGAGGTAGTAGCAGGCGTAGGCGACGCCGAAGCCCAGCACCAAGGACAAGCCCACGCCGGAGCCCAGGAGCCCCACGCGCACCTGGCTCTCCAGGTAGAGGGAGAGCTCCCTGGTCAGCACCTGCCAGTCCATGGCCCAGCGGCGGAGCCGGAGGCGCCGGGGGGGAGTCCCCTCCCCTGCCCTTCCCTTCCCTTCCCTCCCTGCCGAGGGAAGGAGCCGGCGGCGGCCCTGGCTGCTGCGCGGAGCCGCCTCGGCGCCGCCCGCCGCCCGCCTCCCGCCTCCGCCCCCGGGACCGCCCGGTGCCAGGGCCAGGGCCGGCGCCGGGGCCGGTGCCACGGCCGGTGCCAGGGCCAGGGCCGGTGCCAGGGCCGGTGCCACGGCCGGTGCCAGGGCCAGGGCCGGTGCCAGGGCCAGGGCCAGGGCCGGTGCCGGTGCCGGGGCCAGGGCCGGTGCCAGGGCCGGGGCCGGTGCGGGTGCCCGGGCCGCGCTCGGCCGGGAGGGCCGGGGGGCGGCGCGGGGCCGTGCGCGGGTCAGTGCCCAGCGCGCCGGCCGGAGCCCGGCCCGGCCTTTTCCTGCCCTTGGAGCGTGGAGCGCTCCCCTTCCCTGCAAGGCGCTTCCCGCTGCTGCCCACAGCGGGCACGTGTGTTCTCTGGCCCTAGTGTGTTCTCGTGTCGAGGCGCGGGCAGTGGCGCCGAGGCCGGGCGTGATGCTGACACCCACGCTGCCCTCCTCCTCCTCACCACGGGGCACAAGGCGCTGTGTCCGTGTCTGCAGCAAGGCACTGCCTGGTCAGGAGCCCGAGGGTCCCGGAGTGGAGCCCCTGCCACAGGAGGTGCACGCGCATCCCGCCAAGCACCGATGGGCTCCTCTGCAACGTGCGCCTCAGATCCGTGCCTGCTGGATGGCGCTCACAGGGACCCTCCGGCTGGGAAAGCTGGCGGCTCGCCGTCACTCCTGTGTTTCCTACACCCAAATGCTAAACATAATTCATCTGGGAGCTCTGATACAACAACAACAAAATAACATAGCAGCTGAAGACAAGACGTGGCCTGTTTTGGTTGTCGCCTCCTGCTAAGACAGATCTTAGCAGAGCGATGCTGAAAGCAAGTTGGGCCGCGCTTTTCCTCCACACTGCTTCTTCCATGAAGCAAAGATCTCGCTTCCTTGGACACTGGGCCACAGCAAAACACCAGCGTGGGCTTTCCTTCTTAGAAAGAAAATAGCTACCATGTGATCAAACTCGCTGCTTTGGGCCAGCAATCATCTTTTTGCAGCCCTAGCTTGACAACTCTTGAAAACAAACCCAAACATTTAAAGGTTTCGCAAAGAAATGAGTGTTTCTGATAGCCTTGCTAATGTAGATATGGTATATGGAAAGCGAAAGTATGTTTTAACATTCAGCTTGATCAGCAGACATCTTTTATTTGTCTTGATATTTTGTACAATTTTAAGAATGTTTCATTGAATAATGAGAATGTTAAAACTATAAAAAATGATTAATTAAGAAAGATATATCAAATGAAACCCTATCATAATGTTCTGAGGAAATTTAAAAGTAACTGGTCTTCCTGTAGATTTAGTTGTCTGAACTTTCCATGCACAGAGGGCAGAGCCACAGGCACAGTAAGGAAAGAGAAAGGGAATTAGTAAGCAGAGGCTTGGAAGGATCTGGGATTGGTTTGTTTTTCTCACAGCTGTTACAGAAAAAAAATGCATGGAGAAAATTTGTCATAAACACTGCAATTTCTCTCCTTCAACTTATGGAGAAAATCCATACCTAGGTCTTGGTCTTGGTATGTTGTACATTACACATAAAAATACTTAACAAGAAGGAAAAGTCCAGAGTGAGCAGCTGGAGTGGACACCTTCTGATAACATGTAGGTGGGTATAGCAACCTTTAGAGGGAGTCATCTGGCTGAAACGAGGAGCAACCTTGAGGATGCAGAACTTGCCACATCTGAAGGAAAATAAATGGTTGTTGTTCCTTTCCTGCAGCAGAGTGTTCTCCCACCTCCAAACCCCTATCCATTCAAGCTGAAGAACCCTTGAGCCTCCTAAACAGTGAAGAAATATCCCAAATGGCTGAGAAAGAAGAGGCTATAGCATGTGTCCATGGGGCTAGAAGGCTTATAGCTCCATATACAGCTGTGCCACCAAAAAGCAGTAGATAGGGATGTTGGTAGTTACAGAAACCTTTCTGAGGCATACAAACCCTGCAGTTCAATGACTTGGTCAACAACCTGGAGAGACTGCATTCATGAAGCAAGATCCAGACACAAAACTTGATGATGTTTATCTTTTTTTTTTTTTTTTTGACAGTTACCTTATGTGGTTTATGTATTGAGTGGGTTTTAATATAAGGCTTGTCTGATGGGCCACAGGCAGTGCAAGCAATCTGAAACAAATGCCTGCACAGAGCAGGGCTGAGTTTTGTTGTTACAGTGCAAGCATGCTGCTACGCTGCCAATAACAATAATATTAATACCTAACTTCTGAATCAAGTATCCTCTAATTCTAGTGTCTTTTTTTTTTTTCTTTTTCTGTGCAAAGTTAAATCTTTGAATTTGGCCAGTCCATTCTTTATCCTACATCAGCCTCTGCAGAGGTGAGAAAGAAAATTCAATGTTCTGCTCACATTGCAACCAATTCCAAGTGAGTAACTGAGTGCGAACTAGAGGTGGGGGTGTGTGTGTATGCGGGGGAAGGAAAACAAATCTGTCGTATGCCGTTGTGAACTCCTGCAGTGTTTGCTCCTTTGGAAAAAGATACTGTTGAACTCTGCTCCTTTGGAAAAAGAGTTCAACATTCTCAGAGATATTCGCTATTCTCAGTATGCTCTCTGTTCCCTAGTGCTTAGTAATATGATTGCATCAACCCAGCCCTAGTAGGTTATAGATTAGACAGAAAGGAAAGGACATGAGGTTTTTCTTTCATTTTCTCTCCTGATTTCTTTTGCTTGAGCAATAGATAGTAACTTACCAAGGCAACAGATTAGTCAAAGCTTGATTACATTTTTTAATTGAGAGGCTGTGCTAGGACTGTGCTAGCATTCCTTTTTGTTAGCGGAGCTGGTCCTGTGACCATTTTGAGTTGTGGAGAGAGCTGTAATGCTCTTCTATATGTTCCAGTGGAGAAAGGGCACGCTGGCCCCAGCATGGTTCTCTGTGGCCCATTCCTGGAATAGACTTCAATAACCTGTGAAGCAGCTCTGACGAGAGACAAAGTGACTTCTGATCTCATAGATTTAAATTCTAGGTTCTGTTTGTTTTTGCTCTTTCAGCATTTGTTTAATTTTTGCATTCATCAAACAACTGGACAAAAGAGAATGTTGTTTCAGCCGATCTCCTTTTGGGAATACTTGGAAAGCACCAAGCCCCTGTATGAAACATCTGCAAAGGCTCCCAGCAAACAGAGGGAAGAGCGCTCACTGTCCCTCATGCTGAGTATCAGCAAGGGAATGGGAGACAGAAAAACGCATGTGAGAAAATCAAGTCAGCATTTTCCTAGCCTTCTTCACGAATAATACACATTTTTCTCTCCTTAAAGTGTGAGTCAAATAGAAAATGAAGTGTGTGTGTGTTTTATTGGAAACTCTCAAATTTAAAAGAAAAAAAAAAGCTTTTTTTTCCCGCTACACTTTGGGAATTTTCATCTGGCTGCAGTGGAACTGGCTGCAGAATCTAGGTTAAGTTTGCTGCAGGCTCCAAGGAATCCTCTCTAGAGGTTAAGGTGAAATATTTTCACTTCTATTGACCTATCCTCATTCCTTTATAAACACTTTGAAGTGTAAAAAAATACATTTTTCAGTTTAAACATAAATGCAAAGCATTTTAGAATGTCTTATAGGAATGTAAAAAAAAAAAAAACTTCTATATACTTTTAATAAATTTGTGCTTTACTTACAACATAACTTGATAGCTGAATAGCATGACTTGAGTTGAATTCAGTGGAGTCAGCAATTTGTCCAATAAATCTTTTCTGTTTATGCAATTTCTCAAATTTTCTTTAACATGATAAAAAGAAAAATATTTATAAGCTTAAAACAATCTCAAATACATATATATTAAGATGTTTACTATATGCATAGCAACTTTACAAATGTTTAACATTAGCCAAAGTTTCCTATTTTTGAAAACTTCTAGATGTATTTTTAATAAATATAGATTTCAACAAGTCCCTCAGAGTGAATTTAAAATCTTGGTTGCAATTATGTAAGGTTGTGATTGAGACTTCAAATTCTTATGCCAAAATGTTCAGTGTTTACATTCTGCTTGAATTGCAAAATAACGGACTATTAAAATTAGACCTAGATGTTATTCAGTGCTTAAACCATCTGACAGATTATTATTTATAATCTCTATTGCTTAGTGCAAATTCAGCACCTTTCAAATACAGGGAAGACCTGTACTGTAGGTTTGACTGTAAACACACAATTAGTCCAATTTATCTCAGTGAAAAGCTCCATGCACATAATTGATAATAATAATAATAAATTATTATTATAGGATATCTTGATGACGCATAGATACAGGTTATTTTCATATTAGCCAAAAAATAGGATCTACCTGGTTGTGACAGTATTTGAGAATTTGAAGTGAGCATTGATACAAGCCTTAAAATCAAAAAGTTGAATATGAGGAAGAAATTAACCTGTCCTTCCAAAGCACCACCTAATTTAAAAAAAAGTATATGAATAATAAAAATATATAATTTCAAAGTCAGATCTGTAAGTGGCATAGGACTCATACCTTAGCCAGTGCTGAAGTGCTAAGCCAATACCCTACTTCATCTTCATCTCCCTCAACTTGAGTGTCTGTGTATTAGATGTGTGAGTTTTGCTACTGTTCATCGCAAAAATGGGTGGCCTGACACAAATTTCTGTGTTACTTCAAAGTATTTCTCTGGAATATTGCTAATATTCTTACTATTGTAAGATATCTCTACTGTTGTGGGGTGAAGAATATACTCTTCCTTATGCTAAAATGCCTTTTTTCCCCCAACATTTTGAGACAGAAAACTTCCTTCTGTCTGATCTTCACGGGATTCATTTTGCTCTACAGTTGGAGCACCAAGTCACGTATCTACAACCCAACCTGCCCCGTTCATTTTGCTCCCTAGAAGAGAACTAGGAGATAGAACAACGAATGGACAAAAT